GCGTACGTGACAGAGCGCGGCGCGGCATGCAATTATACTCTATTTCGGAAGACGAGAAGAAAATCGAGTGCAGACCACATCATAAGAGACGACGGCCAAGAGAAAAGCGCTTTTTGGCCGTCGTCTCTTATGGTGTGTGGTCTGCACTCGATTTTCTTTCGTCTTCCGAAATTGAGGTTATGTTTCTTCACGTTTCCGTTCTAATGCAAAGTCTTGAGCTTTTTTGCAGGCCTCGGATCATAGTAACTCAGAGCACCCAACTGAGCGGATTCGAACCATTATGGCGATAATATTCGTGCCACTTACGAACTGAACGGTTCCGAGCCACACAAGTGGTCGTTGAATCCTATGATAGGCTCAGGCATCGACAGTGGATGCTTTCCCACATCCGGTCCGTTTAGAAAGGCTTCCCAACCCAGCATATTTTTTGATGCCTGCACACCACGGCCTCATTCACTTGGAGACTTTTTGGAGGTATCGTGCGCAAACACTGTCGGTTTACTCAAGTGTTACTCCCTGGTTAAGGTTCAGGCTTCTGAATTACACAAAAATATAAGAGGCCTGGGAAAAAACGCAAGTTTTGCGTGCGCGGCGACTCTTGTAAGTTGTGCCCACCCTGTTTAATTAAATGAGTCTCTTAGAGCCATGAGATTGCAAAATCGAAACACACACTGATATTTACGTCCATAATTACCATCCTTCACCAGAAGTGGTTTACAAATCCGGGTTTTTTAATATCACGCCAAATAAAATCACTGATTTCCGTACATTTCATTGAAACTAATTGCGATGAGCTCGTCATACATCGACACCTCTGTGCATTTTGTAAGAACTAGTCGCTCGTTTTGAGGCCAATGTCTTCGCTGACGAATCTCTGCAATTACATCATTCTTTCTTTGAATTTGCTTCAGTGAAAAAAGTATTCTCTGCGGGAATGTACACATTAAAATCGTATATGAACGGCACAATGAGTAGCTGGCTCTTTTGATAGAGAACTGTGTAGACGTGTTTCAAATCGTACGATTTGCAATCGTTTCACCACTCTGGATCGCTCTATTCTCTTCAATTCTAGCTCTTTGAAATCCTTCACAATTTTTTCGCGAGCCTCTTATTCCTTCTTTTCTTCGAGCTCCTGTTTATTTTCTATTTTTTCAAAACTATTCTTTCACAGTAGATGAACACAAGCTACTTGCGGCGATTACGAGCTTCTGGAGCTCTAAAAGCCATACTTACTGGTAAGTTCATTTGCTATTTAATCAGGTTCGTCGGTGCTCACACCAATGCATCAAATTTTTTTTGTTGACAGATCGAGCGAGCAGCCGTCAGTGCAAAAAACTAGTCGTAGATTATTCTAGTCCGAATATTGCAAAGCAGTTTCATATAGGGAATCTTCGATCGACATTAATTGGTAGATATATAGACAAGGTCAGTGATTTTTTTCGACTATTTTGCTCCATTAGCTTCATTTTTGAGGTCATCCTTACAAATTGACAGCCATCTGCTCTTTTTGATAGGTGCAGCCGTCTTTTTGGTACTTGCTTCTCCTGATCAACATTCAGTCCACACTCATGCTGATAGTTCTTATTTGCATTTTTCGCCGAATTAGTCCGAATCATTTTCAGGTTCATCGTGCTATTGGTGATGATGTCACCACAGTGAATTATCTCGGCGATTGGGGGACGCAGTTCGCAATGATAGCTACATATTGGCCGCATGTAAGCTAGTGCTCTGTTTTGTATCATATAATGTCTGCAGAACTGACAATACTCAATTCACGCACATTATCCTAAATGACTAGGAGGTCTGCACTACACTGAAGTAGATTGGTTGCGTGGATAGCAACGCTCTCTTCACAATCTGTTTCCTTCCGCAGTCTTCCGTCTTAATTCCAATTGGGTGATTTGTTGATATCGATTACATCCTCATCTTTATGTGCACAGTTCTTTTTCGAATAAGAGGCCTGAATAAGTAGGGAATGAATCGTGCATTTCAACGAGCTGCATGGCGCTTTTTTGGTAACGCTCATCTATTTACATTTAACACATTTATTTAAAAATCTTGTTCAGTCCAGTGGCCTACGTTGAAGTGGAATGACTCAATTCAACCTAAGGAAAGTAACAGGTCAAAGGGGCCGGAAGCGGTATCTTCGCTGCACCTATGGTGCATGTGCATACCTGCGGTGATGGCGCCTAGTCCCTTGAAAGAATGGTGTGCTGCTTAAATGTAATAGAAACGTCAAAGGCGCGTGGTACTTGTATGGAATCCTTTCCATTCATGTGAGGAACGCGAGCGAACTCCCTTATATTCTTTTCGTTATGAGAATAATACCGGGTGTGGTTCACTAGGACAGAAAGCGACTTTTTCGCGTTTCGCAGCGCGAAAAATCTAAAAAGTCGCTTTCTGTCCTAGTAACCACACCCGATAATACCTTCAAATCTTCGCCCTGTATATTCCCCAGATATTTTTCATATCTGGAAGATCTCGATTTCTTATCTGCTCTACATAATTTTTCAGGTGAGGCCATCCGATTCATTTTGGAATTCTTGTAATGATGTGGATAAAATTCGAGCTCTGACAGATTGCTATGTTGTTGCAAACAAAAAGGGAAAAGTGGACGAGAATTTTCGGGAGAAGGTCCGCGAAACATACGCAGAAATGGAGAATTGCATTATGTCGTATGTTTTTCTATATGTTCGAATTCCGTGGAAATATACAAAACTGAGTCGTTATAGCGGAGACTTGTCCTCTCCAACAATGCAGCTGTGGCGGGATATTCGAGAGCTTTCCGAACGGCATTTGAATCATTTCTATTCTATGTTGAATATTGAGTTTGATAGGTATTTCTTGCATTTTTTTCTGTTACAGGTCACATTCATCTCTGAATATTTCGAAAAAGATTTAGTGCTTTTGCTGACTTCTTTTCTTTGTCTCTAGGTGGCAGCACGAATCTTCTTATGTGAAAGCCGCTCGTAGTTTGGTAGCTGATATGGTGAAGGATAAGATTGCCCGTCCAACTGGCAACGGATTGTGGGTTGTGGATCTTCCTGGTGGGGAACTTGAGGATTATGCGATTTTAAGGAAGAGCGACTCCACTACAATATATTTGTCCAGGTGATTATCGATTCATATCTATTTATAATTTTGAGTAACAAGTAATTGACATAATTTTCAAAAATTTCGCCACGTCCATACAAGGAGGGTCTTTCAGGGCAAATGCGTTTTTTCAAAACGGTTTATTGCATATTGTAGGGACGCATGTATGGATCACAAAACCATGTTTCGTTTTCGCTAACGGTTTTAGTAGTATCAAAAAAGTTGTGAAAGATAGTGTTGCAAGGTTCGATCCCCCGTGGCGACTAAATTTTGCATTTGGGTTGGCGCTTTTTGCCAAATGGCGCTGAATGTTAAAATCAGATGTCATATTCATGGCTAGGAGAATCAATAAGCAGCTGCTTGCAACCTTGTATGCAAAGTGTAGTCTCCAAGGGGGATCGGACCATTGAGAGTATTATTCACTACTTTTTTGATACTACTTTTTTAGCGAAAACGGAAAACGAAACATGGTTTTGTGGTCGATCCCTACATTATGCAAGAAACTATTTTGAAAAAACGCGGTTCGCCCTGATAGGCCCTAATTGTTAGTATTTATTCTTATTTTATTTTATTGATATGTTTATTCAGTGCCGTAACGACCACCACTGCCCACACCTTTCCTCCATCTCTCTGCGAGTGAATGATGAAACCCACCCAGAATTACGCAGTATTCGGCGCGAATAATAATTGGATATCTGTTTCCAGGTGTTTGCGATCATCTAGAAACAGATATCAGTTATTATACCGTAATTCTTTTCCTCCAGGAAACGAGCAAGTAAGCAGCGCAACTGGTGATCGGTCGAAATACCTTAAGTGGATTATGAAGAGCAGTGATGAAGCATTAAGCCAAGTTTTCATGCAGTATTCCGGCATTCGGTCGTGACATGTAGGTTGTCAGTCGCTGCGCCGTGAAATACTCATTTACTGAGGGGCATGCTCAGCGATGTCTGAAGCAAGTCTTCGCATCTGCAAGCAACAAGTGTCTGCCAAGCAGTGGTGGTACCGGTTGAAATCTATAATGATGTAGTCCAACAATCGAAGAGCGGAACCTATTTCGGGTAAACGTCAACTCTTGGAGCACGTCGCCGCTTCTGAGCCCCATGTACCCACTGATGCCTCTGTATATTGTCTAAAACTGCGCCCCTCCCAACCACGTGACCTTTAGTCAACCTATCGAGACGATGTACGGTTTTTAGACAGCAAACTTTTGCAGGTGTTCACACATTACTCCTAAAAACTCCAATTCGTGGAGATTCAATCTTCCCAAATTTCACAATTTTCCATGGTTCGAGCACGACACAGGTGCTCTGGAAATCCCTAGGATTCTGCAATTTGATGGGTATTGGTCCACGGGTTATCTTCAAAAAAATTCTTTGATGCGTTCAATATTTACGGCCAGTGGGCGTCCGGAACGTGGTTGGTCTTCAAAGCTGCAGATGTCGTTCTGGCAGAGCTTCTATGAATCACTTTAGACAGATATCCTCTTTAAACGTGTCTGATCCTTCACTTGACAAATTTCCGCGAGGCTTCTCTCGCGAAGTGATGCAGAGGACTCGTAGACTGACGAAAATAAGTTGAAATGGACGGCATTATTTTTTTCCTAGAGAATACTACTGACAGATGAATCTTGTAATATGAAAGGATACTAATGGTAAGGTCGCCGCATTGCCTTTGCTGTGAAAAACACAATCATTTTTTTGGGGGACAGGTGGCGGCTATGAAATCGGCACCTCTGACTTCACCTGTGTGTGGTAGTAGTTCATTCACTAAAAACAACCATATGTTAAGTGCGCGGCAATTCTCAAATTATCCGTACTTTGCGTTTCATATCAAAACAAGTACTGATGAGTTTCGTGCAGATGTTTCTAGGTTGTTAGAAAAAGCTGTCGCCACATGGTCAATTAGAATAGTAGTTAGTTATTCAGAAGTAAAATATAGGAGTTTGGTTATTTCACCAAGCAGGGTCAACTCTTCGTTGGAATTTTCCCAACTACAGGGTCGTACTTGTGATTTTCGAATGGGAAGTCGTATCTAGGGTTCTAGAGGGTCTTGATGGTGGAAAAGATATGCCGAAATGAACGGAAAAGTGTAGAATGTGCTGTGTCACGAGCTTTTACCCCCCTCCCCCCGGTGCTACCCTTACTCCCGCTCGTTAGTTTTGAAGCAGTTTCGGGGCGAAGCTGAGACTTGTCAGTAATGGGTGGTTCAACACCACTATTGACACCATCGGCCGTTGAAGGGAGTCGTATGGGAAAGATCATCTCAAAACATCTGTGAACAGCATTAAATTGGCCCTTCCTGACGTTTCAACGTGCCGCCTTGGAACTTTAACTCTTCTGCACATCTCCGGGACTAATTAATGCAACCTTCTTCTCCTACTTCTTCTGTTCTACTTGAGAATACACCTGACGTTTCCCAAATAATGTTGCTAGCTGGGTCGTAGAGGAGATATTCATCTATTGCGCTGTAAAGGAGCGCTATTACGGTATCAAATCGTACAGGAAGGGAGAAGACATACCGCATTAGAACAGCAAATACTCGAAAATTACCGTGAAATTCTCACTACTTCTTGAAATTTGCGCGAAATTCTCGGCGTTGTCAATCTGATAAGAACAGCTGCTTCAGTAGTGACACTGCCAATATTCAATCCGGATGTCACTTTTTTCAGGGAATTGGCATGTATCCTGGAGCGAGATAAGCTTTTTGAAGCTGATCAGTATTTGTATGTTGTCGATCGAGCACAACGGAAGCATTTTGAAGCGCTCAAAGTGATCCTGAGTCGTATAGGAAAGGAGGCTCTCGCGGAGAAAATTGTACATGTGCCTTACGGACGAGTGAAAGGATTGTCAACAAGGTAATTCCCTCTATCTATACAATAAGGAAGGAGGAACGAGTTGGAGAGTTGGTTGACATTTTTCTAATAATCTGCGTTCGAATTTTAATCTGAATTGGAAGATTTCTTCGTTCATCGATTCGCGAATTGCGCTTTTATTTGCATTTGCTTGTTCGGGCCAGCATGAAATGAGATATCGTGTAAAAAGAATGTCCTGACTTGGTGACATAGTCTGGGCGAAGTATCTGGTCACTAAGTTAACAATGGATGGCTCATTGGATGTCCCTTCTTTTCATTTCGTCATCATTGTTTTCTAGGGGTTGAGTGACTAGGCCTCTGAGCCTTATCTAACTCACCCTCTCTCGAGCGTTAATATTGATCGTTACTTCTACAGATCACCCAATGATGATCCGAGCAGTGGCGGGTGAGTTTGAGTGTGCATAGTTAGTTACCCGCGAAGACGCCTTTATGTTTACTTGTTGACATCTTTGCCAACCATTGGACTAAAATCATAACATACATAGCTAGAGTCAATATATATCTTCTACAAGATAAATTTCCTCAGTTTCAAATTCCAGGATGGGTCGAACGGAGGCAGTTGGAGACATCATCAATCGTGGTACAGAGCTAGCACTTCAGTTCATGAAGGAGTCCAAGACCGTCAAGGTGCCACATGAGAAAGAGGATCAAGTTCGTGGCAGCTTACAAAGGAGTAAAAGTGACACCCGATGACTAATTCGGTGACAAATATAGGTGGCACGTCAGCTCTCCATATCGACAGTGGTATTCAATGATTTAAAGCGGGCCAAGTCTGCTGAGTACGAGTTTTCGTTCAAGAATGCATTCGATCTCAATCACAACAATGCGCTACTGCTCCAAGTAAGATTAGTGCTCCGCAGTGTTATTCAGTTATCGTATTTTTTGCTCTGAAAGTCCAAAGCATTAACAACGAGTTTTTATGTCAAACATAGTCGCCTGTGTTCTATCGAAGAAAACAATGCTGAAATCTTGCCCTTGTTGGACAACTGCGACTCAATTCCTATTGAGACACCGGAATTTGCAAAATTAGCGAGTCAACTTGAAAAGTTCCCAGATGTAAGGAATTTTTGCAGATTCTTTTGCACTGCCTAATTCATTCCAGAAATGTTTCCAGGTGATAGTAGATAGCGCTCAAAACTTTGAACCTTGTCAGTTGATCGTGTATCTCATCGAATTGTCTCATCACATCGGCAGTGTAATAACCCAAGCAAAAGTCAAGGGACAGCCACTAGACGTGAGCATTTTTTTATTATTGTTGTTTTTGTTTACATTCGTACATTCCTTTCTCGCTTTATGTTTGACTAAAGCGAGTATGGTGGATCTTCTGTAGGCTTCAAAATAGCCGCCTAGTTATGAGTTTTTCAGTACTAGTACTCTACTTTGTACTTTTAGTACTCTTTTTCAGGTTGCTGTGCCTCGACTGCTCTTGTTGTCAGCTAGTCGGGTGGCACTTCGTGAAGGCATTTCCCTCCTTGGGGCTCCACCCGTGATTTCAATGTGATGGTGCGCCCTAGAAGGGCAGAAGGATGAGGCCTTGACAAGGGGTGGACGCTGCCTTTCTAGGATATCCAGAGTTTAAGTTTAAGGACAAGTAGCTTGAGGGCACTTGCTGCTCGCTTAGTGTTAATTAATAATAATTTTTTCTTGTTATAATATTTGATCTAACTGTAACTAGACCCAGAAAAGAGCATACGGTGTGAAGCTAGTCTCTTTATCTCCCTACGACGTTTGTCCCTTAATTATATCCATAGAGCTGCTGCAGTAACTGGAAACGACTTATTACACACCTGCCTTTTATGAGTATTCACCGCTGATCAAGAATCTCACCTTTGTTCGGAGTGAAAGGGTAGTTCAAGGTTTATTCGTTTTGCTCCTGTGTCCTTATTTCGCTAATCCCAACTTATTGATGAGCTCCGGGATTGACGAAATGATAAGACTCTTGTGAGAAAGGAGCAAAGCGAACCGTTTTAAGTGTTTCGTTTATAATGGCTTCTTCTTTCTTAATTAGCGCATGAGCTGGAACTGGACGGCCTGTGTAGCTATGAGCAGGTAGCACAAAGTTACTTGGACTGCTCACAAAATGTTTGAACGGTGTGCTGTAAGCAAAGGTTGTTGACGTAGTGATGTCGAAAGTTCTTCATGGTGCATTGCTCAAAACAGCAAAAGACCAAACGAGTCAGGAGTTGATCCCATGACCCTTTGATTGGAAGTCTAACCCAGTACTGTTGCGTATTCTGCTTCATAATTCCGTCTGGAGAGGAGTTTAGCAGATTTGGAGGGTAGATTCGAGATGGGCATTTCAAATGCAGCAGTATACACCACATTGCAAGTGGTTGTGCTGATCTGTTGACCTTCCCTGACAACACATATTTGATTCTCACACCCTATGCTCATTTCACCGAGTAATGAAAAGTTCATGTGGATATTGTTCTATTGTACTAATACTAGTCAAATAGCTAAGTCTTTCCTGATGTTAGCAGTATCGTGTGATTGATTGTGATACTTATAGCATTAACTCACCGGTAGTTTTTGAATGTTGAGTTGGACTCTGTGATGTTCTCATTGATTGACGAGTACATTAGATGGTAGTGGAGTTAACTGCTGACATTCTTTTATTTGTATTCGAGTGTTTTGAGATGGTGAATTGTTCGTGTAGGAGTCCGTGGTATTAAGGTTATGCTTTAACTTGGATCATACGTTCAGAGAATCGTGTCAACTTAACGCTTTAAGAAATCCTTGTGGTTTACTAAACAGATGAATGAATGTTTCTGTCAACTTTGTTCATACACATAAGTCTACTCTGGGAAAGGCATTAACTCTGGTGGCTCCGACATGTCTATTAAACACGAAGAATTAATCAGTGAAAATGCGAGTTTATGATAGGAAAACAATTTTTTCTCTGGAAATGTACGTGTGTTGCTACACCTACAGAAATCACCGTAGGTGCTTCGGGCTTTCTTTCCTGAGCGATCGTCATAAAGGGGACATGAAGCTCGTTCGAACAGCACATCACACCAGCTTATCTCAAAATATTCCCACTGCTCACGATGTGCAGTTTGAAGAAAGGCGCTTCCAAGACAGAGTAGCGCCTTCTATCCACTGCTGATGCTTCTGCAATAGCACTGAGCGGCTTAATTCAGGGTGCGCCGAAATTATAAGGACAGACTTCATGTGAAAAATCTATATGTAGTACTCTAATGGAACAAACAAACTTCTGGAACTTGTCGGCCTCTCATATTACGATGCAAAACGCAGATCAGGATTGAGGCGTGCCAGTCTGTCTTGAGGGCTGCGTTTGCACGGGCGTTCAGATGAAGAGGGGTGACTTGCGCCTGACAGGCAACTGAGAGGTGTCTAAAATTATCAGGCCTCTGCCTTTGGCTTCTCAGGAGATCTAAGTTTATAGGTTTCACCTTGCGGTTGCCTACTATGTATAACAGGAAATCCAGCACGATTAGGTAGACGTTACCAGGCAACGATTCCTCGGAAGCTAAGACTCGAGAAACATTTTTGCAACGTTTTTGTTCCATGACTAGCCAGGGGGGCACTCAACTTCCCATGGTTCGACAGAGCTTCAAACGCATATTACAAATATGGAAACTAAAAGTGCTAAGTACATCCGACAACGGACTGGTAAGCAGTTAACAGTGACTGGCGCTACGTATGAACCGTGCAAATCCGGGCACTCATGTCGCCGCGGAGTAGTGGTAGAGCTCAATTTGCGCTTCAATGGATAGAAGGACTCATGACTTCCCGGTTGGAGAGAGAACACTGATGCATCATGGCGACTTTGAATGCCTTGGACGATAGCACCGTTCATTAGTATAGTGTTTCAAGCTTATCGATATATCTGGGTCTTGAATCTAAGTTCTATAGGAAGTTGAATGCTTTGTCCATAAGTGCTCTGCCCTACGCAAAGGGGGAGCAAGTTTTGTATGCTGATAATATCCTGGTGCTGTCAGCATTTGAAACCCCGCCTTCTACCTGTGAGGTTTCGGAGCTTATTAGGCGTTTTAATGTTACCCACAGCTTTATGGTTACGTAGAACTGCCCTAAGTTAATATACCAGAACACGTACTGGGCTCAATTTGAGGAGTGGCGCAGTGATGCGTTTGCTTCACTAATTTTGAGAACTTCCTGAAACTCGGTTTAACCGGAAGAGACATTGTACCCTATCCCACACACACGAAAAGAAAGATGGCAGTGAAGAACTCGGAAAATAGTTGGATATGACCGCACGCGCACGCGCTTCTCTCATGATTTTGGCCCACCCTGTACAATGCCAGACGCCCTACCACAAGAGGAACGATGGCTCATCTTTGGTTCGGTGCTGGAAAAATTTTTTTTAGTAGAATATTCTTCGTGACGAAGGTGAACAACGCACGACAGCCCGATGGCTGGTTCTGTCCATTACCGATAATGAGACTCATTGGTGGGAGCTTATTGGGCAAATGAAACATTCCAGGAAAGATATTCGTCGTACGTATCTATTTAAAAGGGTCAGTACAGGTGTAAGTGATTTGCTTTCTACAGCTTGCCATAGCTGACGTAAGCTTCTTGTCAGAAGTATAACATTACAACAGTAATTGGTACAATGATTTTCTTCTCAACAGTGAACGTAATTATTGGTATTAAAATAAGGTTTTAATTGGAATTGATCGCATTTTCAAAACTGGAAGAATGATTCAGAGGTCAGGTTGTAGAACGGCTTCACAGCGCTCCACTACCGTACGTGACTGTCCCTTGGTGACACCAATATCCAAAGGTGTAATGAGTGTGGGTCCTTTCTGAAACAAGAAAATGTAGTTTATTTATTTCTTATTTATTATTTATTCATTAGTGGATTGGTTCTTTTCCTCGAGCTGCCCTGCAGGTGTTTTTCACTTTCGCTTAGCAACTTTGGCTTCAGACAGGGTGCAGTATCCGTCAATTCATTCGCTCCAACCGCAATCGTCGAGTCACCGTTTTGCGCCAATCAGTTAGCGCTCTCGCACGGCGACATCCGACTCGCCATCGCGAGCCGTCTGTGCTCTTCCGCGTGTTCGTTTCCCGCCTCAGCACTACTCTCGCCTAGGAGGTTAAATCAAGCTTGCTACGCCTACAAGCAAAAATAAACCTGCAGGAGTTGTATAGACGAAAAAAAAAACGTACACGCTGTGGCTGTGTGGTAAGCGCTTGAGCGCCTTCCCATTCGAAACATTGGGTTGGAGGCAACATTTGAAGCAGATCATCCAGCTCGTGTTCTGAAAATTTCGATTCCATTCAGAAGTGAGAGAGGTGATCCGAATGCGAAGTTCTAAAGGAGTACCAATTGCAACGTATTCGATTTTTAGGTCTTTCTCCTTATCGATATCGAATGCTTTATCTCGTATCCCAACAGGAATTCTTCCCCAGTTTTGCTCAACTGAAATCACCAAATTAGGCAGTGAGAGTGAGGGCTCCCCACAGCGTTTTACGCACGCCTCCTCCATCTTGTTGAGTAAAGAAATGTGGTAACTCTACCCTTCAAGGGAATTTCGAATTGTTCTGTGTACTTCTTAACAGTTCCGCGAAATGATTCACTACGATATCAAAATATCATATATCAAATATACACGGGTGAAAGTGCAGTGTTACCCCTTGCAACGACAAAAAGGCAATTTTTTGACTGGCTTTGTCTTCTTGGCTCTTTACTGCGGCTGTCGATGTGAATGTGTTCACAAGGGAACTGAGTTAACGGCAAACCGCTTCCCCTCCATTGTAATAACAGTGAAGTCGGTGTGTCGGTTAGTCGATTTCTCGGTACGTCACTGACAGAGATTGTTTGTTCTGTCCAATTTGGCTGTCAAAATGCATCTTTTGTGAAAGTGGATTAGAGTAAGGAAGTATTAAAGAGAAAGACAGTAACCAAAGCAAGAGCATCTCGCTACGCCCACAAAGCATTTTCGATTTGCTGGACAGATAGTCACCCGATTTTTCGACAAACCGACTGGTATCGTATAAATTGACACACCAGGCTAGCGATTTATGCGTGGAGGAATATATTCGCTATTGTTCTGTTAGTGTAGGAACAGTATGACAATTCCTACACCAACAGAACAAAACACTTGGGTCGGAACTATTGGAGGGTACTGTAATGTGAGTTCTGTTGAAACAGCCGGTTACAACTGCTAGTAGCCTTCCCACCTTCCACATTTCACAAGTGATGAAAGTGCACGCATGCGAAAAAATCTGAACGAAGAATTATCTCTTCACGGAAAAGTAGGCTTCGTGCCGAAAGCTAGCCTTAGGCGTCACAAATAAGAATCCCTCCGTGAGAATCGCTAATTTATAGTGCCGCGATAAATAACAGACTCTAGGTTGCATTCAGGGCACTTAAAGGCATTGGCTGCCACAAAACAAGCAATCATTCTACATAGTAATTTTTAAACTGACGTGTTCATGATAGTGTAGAAGAGCAGAGACTGCGAGAAGATAAGACCCGGTAGCCGCCGTAGCTGCCACAATTATCTGGGAAGTGGAGTTTGTAATTACATAATTTTGGATGTTGACTGCGTTGTTTTAGTGCACCTTTTGACAAAACGACACTTGTTGTCTGCTTGACTACCTGGTATCAGCTGCAGGCATCCTTATCACCTACAGCAAACATAACTTTGTTAGGGAAATATTTCAAAGAGTTAGGAGAAAACAAAGCAATTCTAGCAAGCTTTTCGTAGGTCAAGCTTAAGCATTAAGCTATGTTCCGCTGGTCGTTTCTCTATGAAGGAGCCGCACTCAAATTGAAAACACGCCTTCAGTCATCGAAACACTCACTATCAGCATTAGATCAAAAACTCACAATATCGCTTCCAAAAGGCATCCTTAGATGCTACCAACTCTTTGAGAGAATTCACGTTTTTCCAGGGCAGACCAAGCGTCAATTCGTACATCTTAAATAGACTTCAAATATCGTCCTTGCTTACATGCAAAAACATTTTTGCTGTACTCTCATGCTCGATGGATTGGGTCGAAAATTGGAGCAGATGACTTATTAGATAGGAAAAATTGAAGATGATCAATGAGGAGGACCCTAGAATTCACATCTCCGAACTTCAAATCTACTGAAAAAGCTTGTTTTGGTTTCCTAGTTCTACGCTTTACTTATGAACACAAAAATAAGTGCGCTTTGCAGAAATCCGCACAGCCCTAGCTGAACCGAAGAAATGTGCGTATCTTAGAGGCGAAGTTCGAGCTCAGACCTGCTTAACAAGCTCTTTTCGTGGCTAGAAGTGCTGGGTACGCAAGTGCAAAGGTAGCGCCACCTTTCTACATCGAAACGCGTCACTAGGACCCTAGGCGCCATGGACTTCTAACAGACTCCACCAAACTTAACATGGTCCGCCCACCGTTCGATATCTTGTCTGCGTCGCCACGTTGATCTGCTATGCTCTCTTCTCGGACTTCTCTACCGCTCTCCGCGCTCACATTATCTCTCATCTCCCTGCCTACCTTTTGAACTTCTTCACAGTGTAGAACAAAAGGATCGTATTCCCTGTGTAATTTACAATTTTATTCTCTTCTTCTGATTCTTGCCTTCAACTAAGGCAAAGAAGCGGAAGCAAAAGCGTTGCCTTTCAAGCTGCTTGAAAATACCCACGCTAGGAGCAACTGAAGCATCCCAAAATGATAAATGCCACATCTACATAGCAGTAGGTCCCTGGAGTCTTTTAAATGCACAGGTCGTGATGGAACCAGGTGCATCAATCCCTTTGATGGGTGAATAGAATTGTCCATTGAAATCACCGATGTTCCATTCTCGGCTCAAAAGCGCGCTATAGCCTTGCAAAAAGCGCTTTAACCACACCCATTTCTTCTTCGTATCATGCGGGAGTGTGCGCTGCGCCATACTTTGTGCTCTTTGCCCTGTCCTTTCTACTCCATGTTCTGTGTTACGGTTAGCTTTGTCAAACCATATAAATATGGATAAGCCCTTGATCTCAGCATTTATGATGGAATAATATTTTCCTTTTTTCTCCACTGCCACTCCACATAGCACTCCTTCTTTCATATTCCTCTGCAAGAACCACAGAGTTTGATCATGGTATTCAAGGAACACCAGTTGTATTAACAGGAATGTGAATGAGTTCCGTCTACCTGACCTTTTGTCATCACGGCTTTCACCTCGCCCCTGCTCAAATCGCAGGATGAATGCTGACTGCGCAAATGAAAGCTGAACTGTGAAGAATTGCAACACTGAGCTCTTCGTCTTATATTCTGCCATTAGTGGTGGTACACTAGAGCTGGCTGGAGTAGGAAGGCTGCGGTACCATCAAGAAGCAAGCCGAAACTTCGCTAGCTACGGAAACAAAACGATATCGTTTTGAAGTCGGTCGAGACAATCACTGCACCACTCCACTAACTGTGGCTCACATCTTCCGAAAATCACGAATACGACCCTCTCCTTCCTTGTATGGTGCTCAAATTTTTGACGACCATCAAGGGATTCATCTTATCCACATTGTGCAATGTGAGCGTTGCCTGATCGCCCCCATGAGCAATTCGAATCTTTTC